AGACGAGTATCGGGTAATCGGAAGTGTCTGCCTAGCATAGAATGGGGAGGCATCAGTAAAAGTTACGACTGCTATTGAATAGGTTATCTTGGCGTGTGATGTTTGCATAGTTACGTTCAGTTAAGTTTTTACAGTCATTAACCATGCACTTTCATGCGCCGGTTTTGGTTGCTGTTTTTTGGTTACCCATTTAGATAAAAGAGCGGAATGAAGACTGGAATGTTGATACCAAAGTCAAAAAGAACATAGGGCATTCATATAGACCGGGGTTGCAAGAATATTGACTAGATGCATCAGCGCCATCTTTTGTGACACCCAGCCAAACCATCTAGTGTGTCTAACCACCGGTTACCATGATCTCGGGGTCGCCATCTAGGGAAACTCACGCGACCTATATGACCCAGTTTCCTTCTTAGGGCTTTCATACCCTGGTGCCAGACTTAATGACGTTTTTCCATCCGCTACCTGCCGTGGCACAACCTATGTTGTGACATGCGCAACACCTCCCAACCAGAGTAATTTATGGAGGTCGACCACTTCGTCTAGTGGACGACTGCAATTACCTCTGCGCCTAACCTCAGCATTGCTCGTCCGGTTTCCCCACCAGACTCGTGCAAAGCGGTAGTCGAATACTGACAATATATTTTTATTCCGTTCCCGTAATGGCCAAATCTCTGCAGGGTATAGCAACACTGATCGAACTGCTGCGGCATACAATCGGCCCTTCACAGAAAGCCGGATATTGCGATGGTGTCACAGATAACTCAAGTTAGCGAATGCCAATCGAGCCTTTTGTATGCGTGCCGAACCTTCATCTGTGACGCGTCCGCAAGGTGACATAGAGCTGCCAAACAGTAAAATTTGCCCATTTCCTTTAATACTCCCCAGTCAAGGTGAGGTTGGGTGCTGGATTAACCCACTCTTGTGGTGGCATTCTACACTTTGAAGGTGCAAAATGCATACCTAACATGGCTACACTAACAATCCAATTAACCAAAAGAGCGTGCCACTTATCTGGATTCTCACTTAGTAATACAACATTGTCTGCATACTCCAGATCAGATAGTCTACTACCCATGAGCAAATCAATACTGCTATTCTCGCACGGGGATAGAGCTGTTTCAAGAATTAAATCTAAGACGAAGTTTAATAGAAACGGAGAGAGAGAGGGCAGCCGTAACGAACAAAGCTTTCTGCAGTTAACTCTGACGAAAAGGTACCGCACGCTCGGGCTCGGGTTCGGATAATAAGGAATATATTCACTTAAACAGGCAGTGGGTAAGTTATTAATAAAGGAACCGAAGATCGTAAAAGAACTAACGGTCATGTAGACCACAATAGAGTTTCCGGTTGGGAGTCCAAAACCCAGCCTAATCAATGATCTATGGCACCGAGTATTGTAAATAGTGGTACCCTTACATCTAATCACTTTCAGTAAGCGTGCTTTTTATGTTCTATGATTCAATCGTTGAAAACTCAACGGCTTGTTAACTGCGAATGTTTCCCCCATCAGATGGTCAGGTAGGGTTATCTAAGACAGGGAAGACAGTAGGGAAGTACAGTGGTTAGTGGGAGTCCAAACTAACCTTACCAAGGAAATATTTATTCTTGGTAAAAAGTGTAGACTCGACAGCGACCCAACAAACGATTACCGACCAAAGACAGTAATTTTGAATTTGCAATATCCGTTTGTTTGACGCCAGTGGTTATACAAAACAAATGTGCTAACAGATGATTCTAACAATTTTGACCAATTTTTCGACTCACATTAGCATTTTTCCTCATTGGATTAATAATAGACATAGTTAGTCCACTCAGAATCGGTAAGGATTTTATTTTCTTAGTTGTCATAAGCCAGCATTTTTCACAGCTGACATGTCACTGTCACACTCCATCGAATGGAAACAATCTAAGAGATGGAGCGAATTAGATAACTTTAACGAGACCTCGTGCGAATAGCATTCGATTCGTATTACCGTTTACATGTTAATTTTGAAGAATAATTTACATTTGCTTTGGTGGGAACCGGTTCAACGTATGGGCATTAGTTGATCTTTTCGGAGCATAGTGTGTGCTTATAGTTGGGCTTTCAGATGTCGGTTTCTCGAATTACTTATTAATATACCTGCTTTTTTATATATGATCTCAAATAAAAAATAAATAACAAAAATACTTCAAAAATTCGAGTGAATCACTGATCACTCACCTTGTCTAATTCTTTGGTGAGGCGTCGAAGCTCATCTGGTGGAAAAGGCCAACCCGACTGGCGGAAGACATCCAAAATGACTTCCCGATGCTGATACCAGCATAGACGATTACGCCATCGTGAAATGTCACCCAAACCGGTAAGTGAACGAAGACGCTGTTGATGTTGCCTGTTCAGGAATTCCGAAATAATTTTCACCAATTGTCTGCAATTGAAAAAAGTGCGGAATACAAGCTGCATTTTGATTGTGTTTCGGAACCTATTATAAATATATATATATATATATATACGTATCATAGGAAAAACTAGTGTTACGTTACACTAATGAAATTAGTGAGAAAGACTGCACAAACTGTCGAAGAATTCAACACATTATGGTTCCTCTGTGGTGTAGTTTAACTCCCATCGGTATACTAGACAGCCTCCGAAAGCCTCAGTATGGTCGGGATGGGTCTCTCGGGTCACCATTCCCTTACACCTCGCAAAATACTCCTATATGACCAAGCGTCTCAAATAATCCGACGTTTCGGTTACGGTGGATAACCTTTATCAAGGTGATTTTAAAATCGAGTTTCATTCGATTATGAAATGGCCTTGATAAATGTTACCCATTGTAACCGGAACGCTTGCTTATTTTCACCTGTACCGACATCGCTGTTTTCATAATTACAAATTATATAAAACATATCACATGGTTCATCGATTTTCTGATACTCTCCGAACGTCGTTCGGATCTGACACTACGAATAACGTCTCAAATAGCCTCTGCTGAGGAAGCCCTACTCACTACCTTCCCGTGGTGGAGGTGTTTTTCCAAAATGAGAGGACGAAACGCCAACATCCGGGGCTATAACCGGGTCGGTGAGCTACTGGTAGCTCACGTAGAAAATTTGGCCAAAAACCCTGGTTCTAAACCAACCAAGAACAGGCGAACGAACCACGCACACACACACCTTCCTGGCTGTGGCAGTAGTCACCGGCTCAATTGACTATCGAGGTGTATTGGTCACCTTGAACGTTTAACCCCGTCCAAAGGGTATATGATCCGCTTAACTGGATACCGGCTTTCAATGGACTGAGGACACCGAGCTCCGTCCTGTTGTCTTGCGTGTCTGGCCTTGTAGCCAAATTTTTCGGGTGAGGACCCCGAGGTTATCCCTCTTCCTAGGGTAACCGGGATGTAACATGCCCACATAACTTGAGTACATTCAACAGATTTTTTGGCCATATGTTGTGCCACATTTACTAGTTGTGTAATTGGTTACGTGTTCAAATAAAAAACTAGACAGTAGAAGTAACGGACGGACATTTGTTGTACACTTTGAAATCTTTTAAAGGCAAAACTTTCTTGTCTCAGTGGTTTACTGGTTCAACAATTCGTCCGTGAAAATTTTGGTAGCGTCTCCTGGTAAACTGAATTTATTAATGCCTCAAAATTTGGTGCATGTCGATAGCATAGGCTGCGCACTACAAGGGACTAAAAAATAACCGCTTACAGTATTTAACAGTCAACAGGACTCTCTGATCGTTTGCCGTGAATCAACCCGTCTTTTCCTGTAGTTGCTATCAAATTAGTAGTTATAAATAGTCGTCAATTTTCATATCAATGAAATATTTTCTGTGTTGATCACATCACAGTAGAGTGACGGAATACATGTTACTTGGGTTTGGTATTTCTGATAAGGGTTCTATCCCGGAGAAGTGGAATTCGTCTTTTTGACCAAAGAGGCATTTTTGTTTCCCGAATCGGTCAATCACGGAAGAACAGCCGACACTCACCCTTCAATCCGTTTCAACGCGAATCCCAGATCACGTTCGTATTTGGCAAAGTCGATGGCTTGAGGATTGACCAAACGAACTTTTGGTTGTCCGGATGGTTTTGTTTTGCTAATCACAGCCAATGGCATAGTTTGTCGTAAAACTTCAGACGTGATGCGCCGTTTCAGTACCGGAATAAATGTGAATCGTAGGGGTACAGCGACCGGGGCAATTAGATCCAAGGGACGCAGTTCTTGCGCACGCAGACCATATCGTGCAATCCAAGTGGGGATGGAAAGTCTGAAAGACCAAAATCAAAAAAATGTTAGCAATAAAAAAGATGTGTTCACGATGGTTTAAAATCACCTGGTCAAAATAGATTACCTAACACACATGCTGTGGCTCATCAATGGATCGACAATGGGTGCTGTGTGAATATTGGAACGGAATGCACAGGAAACACACCATTTAATGAAACTGTGTCAAAAGGAGGAAACAAGCACTAATTAAGCAGACAAAAATCACATTGGTCAGCGAAAACAGGATCTCGGCAATGCAGTCAGAAGCCATCGCAAACATGCATACAGACATACACACATGCATACGTGCGTACGTAAGAAACATAGATTTANATATATATATATATATATATATATATATATTGAAGTAAACTCGTCAGCTATTAGGTGTCCTAGCGTGATTCAAATTACGTGGACAGCAAAGTGAAAACCTATCCAATTCGTTGCTGCCTGCATTAGAAATAAATGCTCCGAAGAAAACTTGGAGGAGAAGTGAATCTTTTCAAACAGATACTATAGACTAAAGGTTATTTAGAGTGCTTGATCCAGATTAATCCGCTAATGGTAAGTTGAAAACAACTAAACAAGGCAACACTCCACAGGCAACTACTAGAGTNATCAGCAAGATAATCTGACCAATCCGATATCTCCTATGGCCTTATCAGGCATGCAATTCACTAGTTAATCGTGGCTGTTATTAAATACCATATATTAATAACATTGCTTGTTTGTAAAAAGTTATATCGGCTGGAATGATGAAGTTTTCCCAACGAATCAAGAAAGCGACCGAGCAAACTGAGGAGACTAACAGAACTATAACACATCAAATCTCGTGGATACTCGAAACCATGTGAACGCAAACATTCACAAAGTTCTGCAATATGCCAAAAAGTTCATTAGATCTAATTGTCAGCATTATTTTTTAACAACAGAAACGGTGGTTGCAACAAACTGTATGTTCCCAAAACAAAAGCATTCCACAGACGGCTTTCATCTACCAATCCCGACTCAAACCTGACAAGGAAAACTAAATCATTCGTGATCCCTCCCCCTCAAGACCTTTGAGCGTAAATAAAAAGTGTCTGAGTTCATGCACACTATTTGTAGATCCCTCGTATGGTATAAGTGTGCGCTACCGTGCGCCAACAAAACGTACCAATTGATTACTGTGATTGCACTGATTGCACAAAGTTCAACGGTGGAGGCTCTCATATTTTTACCATACAGGGAACTGCAAGTTTGTGTCCATCTTTATTGCCACACCGTTTCAGGTGTGCATCGCAGTTAGGAAAGATCTATATATGGAAACAGCTTTCCGAAACCCAACGAATGCTCTTTTGGTTGTAAACTCCGTTTAATGGTTGCAGATGACTAGTCAATACAGTTTACATGTCACCGAGGTGTGATTTAATTGACTGTCAACGCATTTCAACACCACCGATAACACTGGCCGGGTTCGTACTTGCGTTCGCATCTTACTGTAGTACTGAATTTGGACTAAACAGTTTGGTTAATCGTTTGGTCAGTTCTGCCCTCGGGAGAAAAACTGAAACGTGTTTGCAGTTTTTGGACCGGTGTGAAAGATAAATTACGGCCGAAATAGATGCATGAAAATATGCGAACTTGTGGGACCATTCAGGTGTGTACAGTTTATTTACCACGGGGAAGGACAGCAGTAGAGATTCACGCTTGGTGTATGGATGCATAGAGTACAATGATATACACGAGAACATTGCGCTTCTTGAATATTTGCGAAGTTGCTTTATTCATTCCGATGCACAATATATGTTCACCCTCGCATGCATCAAATACTTCATGAGCAAAATAAAAAATTTTGTGATGAAAATCGAATTTGTGCTGTTTCGAGTACGGGTTAGCAAACAACTTCACAAATACAGTAAAGGTGGAAAACGCACATCGCTGGCTACGTACTCTACCTCATCTGCTTTTAATCTCAGAGCTGATAAATACCTGGAATACGTCTGTACCCTAAATTGTTGAGTGCCTCGACTTGAAAATGTAAAAAATAGAGAAAACGAATAGGTATGGTCACAATAGAAAGCGTTCTTCATTGATATGATGGAAATGCTTGTGATGCCCGACAAAATGCATTTGACAGCTGTTTTGTCCCGTTCGGGACTCGTCAACGGTGCGTACTTTTGTGTCCCTGTCAGGACTCATTGGTCTTTACAAACAACTGTCTGTTGATCGCAAACTGAGATGATCTCTTACCAATTAAGGGGAAAGAACCAATTTTGTACTGGCCGGTTAGTAATGAAGATTATTGGCGTTCAGCAGCGTAATCTCCCGTTACTAATTTGTTTGATCGAATTCGTTTGTTTGTTTTGAAAAACAACATTGGTGACGGACGTGTTTGATAGATAGACCCTAGTTTTCAACCCAAAAGTGACTGTTTCCCTCCATTTTCCCTATTTTTCTATTTATTTTATAAAATTTGAATTTCCTGATTTTCGTTCCTAAAAAGACTCATACCGCACCATCAGCCATACTTGATCCTCATTGGTCCATTTCCGTGACTCACTATTTTCCAAGGTCACTGATGGCCGGTCCTCAAACTGTAAATAAACGGATGAGTTATCCGCTATCTTCGCCTTTTACCGTCGATTGAAATATACAACCTCGCTTGAAGGCCTGTTTTCCGTGTTCTCTCTGGTCGGGTTCGGAAATCGTATTGCTTTCGTGAGGCATTTCTTTCCGGTCCTATTGGGACTTGCTTTGGATACCGCAGTCGGGCACACCGTGTACTGTCCACTTTTCCGCTGGGTCTTACGTTTTTGTTTGTGGTCATTACTGCCGCACTTATCGTTAGGTCACGACTAGTGCTAGTTCAGTCGTATCGTCCATTCCAACGTCACAACAGTGCTGCAGCTTTTGGAGATCTGCAAACAAACTTTGTCTGACAGCACCCTATAATTAAATTTGAATGCAAATCCCGTGATCCTTTCGCTCTCGGCTTTTTGTATGGCATCGGTGGTCTCTTTTTATCCACAAATTTGTATATGACTGGCTAAAATATAACTTCTAATAAAAATACAAACACCAGTGAATTCCCGGTGATGTTGAACGGAGACTAGGCGGATTCGTCTGAAAGGACTTAGTGTATAGACTAACGCATGATCCATCAAGATGTGACTAACGTATGTCAGCAATTTTGAGACAGAGTCCCACTTATTACGTAATGCGTTGCATCACTTAATATCAATGCAATTGCAATGCTCAATGTTGCCACCGGAAATGAAAGCACATGTGAATTACGTTGTTCACTATCCTAATTCATTCCAACTTACGGTTCTGGCAGTTCGGGTTCAGTTCGTTTAACCGATTCACGCGCCTTTTGTGCCTGTTTCAGTTCAGCTTTAAAAAAGAGGAAAATTACGATCAATCCATTAAAACAAAACGGTAAAAGATACAAATGCAGTTAGATATCACTTCAGAAAAGGAAAGAAAGTTAGTAGGTAATGCCAACATATTACGAACTTTGCTCGGTGTTTTTTCTCGATTTGACTGAGAGGTTGTAAAGCTTTTAGGCTCCCCCTACCCCTAGTTTGTACTTGATTTGACTTGAATTTAATTCCTAGATCGAACAAAAGTGATATCTGTTTTCACTACCTTAGCGTTTTTTTAATAGAACCACACTGTTTGTGACAATCGGAACCTAATGTATTCTGGATGAAATTGGATACACGTATCTGAGAGGTCACAGATCAGGAACTACCGTGACATGGTGGACGATTTGCCTTCAGTCACAGTACCTAATTGTCTAGAAATAATGTATTATACTCGGTTGTTCAAGGTTTGAAATTCTGAGTACAAGAAGTTAGTCACCCTCTGAAAACGACGGGGTCTTGGATGAACTCGGGAAAGTCTAATCTGTTTTACCAATAACCGATGGCGTTGTATCATGCCTTAGCTCAAGGGTTAGTAATCTACCAAGCGGGTCTTTGAATTCTGCAAACTCAGGGAAGGCCCTATTGATAGATCAAATGAAAGAGCAACAGCTTCGTAACCTATTTCATTTAGAGGAGGATATCAATTGCTAAAGGCAAGAGACACAGTAGAACTGGAAAAAAGAAGTTGGATTTGATGGTAGAACAGAAAAAAGGTCATATAGAACGAAAAGAGTCTCAGACTCAGTGAAAAAATCTAGCTTATCGCCTGGACGATTACGCTAGATTGACGCCTCGGAGACAGCAGTGTCAGGACCTCAGTGTACAGGACAAGTGATAATCAATCAAAGATGGAGCTTGATGCCTTTGATGGAGACCCCACCACTTCCTGCACATTTGTAATACAGTTTTATATACAATTTGGAAACAGAATGAAGGATAATGATCATTGTTTCCTTCACCTCTCACACTGCTGTGACGGAAGAGCCTAGGACGTTAGCAAAGAGTATATAACGCTATCAACGATATTGAGAACTACTTAATGTGATGAAGTTCTTCGGTCCAAACCACGTCGTCGCAAGAACACTCTATTCTTCAAACACAGAAGATAGATAATGCCGAGTGACTGATGTGGTTGGCAATTTTAAATGATAAATAGCATTGAATTAGGTTGACTGCCTTTCAGATTTGAACTAGTGTATTTGGGAGTCATCCGTAGGTTACCGACTGAAAGGGAAACCCCCATTTTTCCGTTAGGAAATACACGTATCCCCCATTTTCGTAGTTACTTCTGTGGAATTTATATACACAGTTTTTCGTGCCAAACGAAGATCCTATCGCACTACAAGGCCGGATCGTTCCAGAATCATCAGTCCTACACAAAATCGAAACCTCTGAGCTATCTGCCAAGGTTAATAATCGTTGATCCGGACAATGTATATAAATAGATGAGTTTGTTGTACCAATTGCCTTTGGGGTTGAGTCAAATACACAACCTTGAACTAGGGTACTTCAATCATCTTCGTTCCACTTCAGTTGGGTATCAGAGATCGCATTTCGATGAGCTCCTCATCGACTGGGATCAGTTAGCATAGCATCTTCAAGCTACTCGTTCGTAAATTTAACCACAAGGATTGCGTTGACTATTCACTCTGTTTGAGTTACAACATATATGCCGAAGGGGTACTTATGTGAGCAAACAACATTCCGATCGCTCTCAGTCCGGATACCAAGCGGCTGTTTGGGTCGCAAATTACGGTGCTCGCGGCTTTGTCCGGATGGTTTGATATGGTTGGGTCATGTGTTACGCATGTCACCAGATAGGTTGGTACGGCGAGCGATGCTCGCCGAGGCAGGTAGTGGGTGGAAGAAAGTCAAGGGTGGTCAAGCTAAGATCTGACATGAGGGTATGAAAACCCCAACTAGGAGTCTGGGTCACATAGGTCCCGTTAGGATCCATGGATGGGGACCTCGGGATGGTCGTAACCGATGGTTAGAGACACTGAGTGACATGGCTGGGTGTCGTAAACAGTGGCGTTCGTGCAACTTGTCAATTTCTTTGCAACATTAGCCCACTGCAATTCTAAATTTTCCCTTTGATCCTATTCTCAACCTGTCCTGTCTTTCTCCTAATGTTCATCCAAATGGGCAGCCGAAAGATAGCAACAAAAACCGGCGCACGATAGCGCATGGCTAATGGTTGTACGAACTGAAAACTGAAATTGAAACCATACTGCTCACTTTTATGATCAGAGGAACTTGTCCAGAAAGAAGCTGAGCCTTCATGTAAACAACTCACGAAGTTCGTGTCCGTGAAAGTCAGAATAGCTCTAAATCTATTTGGTTAGTTAGCAATTCATACCTTCAAGTGCAGCATACGTGTTCTATCAGAACCATGATGAATTAGCAGCTGTGTTAATATGAACTTGGCTATAACGGATAGAGGAGACAACAAAGATAATACGTGCTCAAAAGAGGGATATTGATTTTTGTATCGTTCAAAGGATAATCGAGCGCGCATAAAGCGCAGCACAACAAGACCTCCATCATCGCAGACTATTGCACCTGAAAGATAAAACCGATGGAGAACCTAAACGATTCTAATGATTCCGCTGTTGAGATCAATCTCGGTGAACTTCTGTTTGTATCAAGAGCCCGAAGGGTTTTGTTACGACTTTTGTTCTACTTTTTCACGGATGGACATCACGCTATTGGAAACGGCTCTCATAGCGCAGGTTGATATAAATTCTATTAATACAATGTTGTCGATACAGATATTGAACGAAAATCGATCCTGAGTACAGGGGTAGATGAACGTTGATCACGCATACTGTGTCGACCGGTTGTTTTCCCATTGGTTGCGGTATAAAGTATCGACTTCCAAGAACCCCTGATCACACTAATTTAGCATTGGACAACTGGATAGTGCATTTTATAATAGGCGTGGATGTCCGTTGGATATTGTAAGAGCTGCTGGTAAGTAAGTAGGACTGAAACAGATTATTGACAACATTCATGGAGGAAACGCTGCTAAACGGTGGCGTTCGTGCATCTTTGCAATTTATTTGCCATATTAGTCCGATGAAATCCGTCATTTTCTATGCGGTTCTACTTTCAACTTTCCCGTCTTTCTCCAACTGTTGATCTAAATGGGTAGCCAAAAGACAGCAACCAAAAACGGCGCATGAAAGTGCACGGTTAATGGTTGTACAAACTGAACTGAGCTGATTATGTTGTTATAGCGCAAACGAGGACAATTCTTTGAGGACATAAGGGCGTAATGAATAAGATCAAAATCGATTAAGCTGGAAATTGGAAAATATAGAACAACTGTCCTTAGGGGGGAAATCCGTATTGTTCCTGTCATGGAATTACAGTTCGATATCGACAGACTACAATCCCCTCAGAAAATTTCCGTGCGAAAAATCCTTTTTCATAGGTCTAGTGTAGTTGTATGTTCTACAGATCATAATTTTGGCCGAATTCCGGAGTAAAATAGAAATTTCAAAACAATTCAAAGAAAAAAGAGGATAAGCAGAGATAGCACAGTTTGTCAAGGAAGTGGTAACTCACTTTTGACTGCCTGTTCGTATCGACGAGCTTGTCTGTCCAGAAGTTCTTTCGTTTCTACCAGAACGAATTCTTCCGAATCACTGGTGGCGGCTTTTTGGCACAAAGCGTTCAGTAGTGAATAATACGCATCTGTATGTGCGTGATACATGTAATGAATAATACACAAAGAGCAAAATTGGAGAAGTTTCATCGAAGTTAAGAAAAAGACAGAAAAGGTCAAGTTGATCGCGATTGAACAAATTTGGTACAAATCATTCAAATCATTCATAAAAACATAAATGACGCCATCTATCATCGATCTAAATGTATAAACAACAAAAATGATAGGGAAGCTCTGCCCGGTAGGTATAAAATTGCGCAGAATTTACCAAGAAACACCTAGCCGCTGCAGAATCTGACCTATTTCACAGCCGGTATACTAAACACACACGGACACGACGCACGTATGATCAATTCATCCGAACATTCGGACTATAGTTGTGTCCAGTAGGTCGTTCTTTGACTTAATTTAGTTGGGATCACGTGACACGAACACTTGTTACATAGATGATAGATCAACAAAACGAGTTTTTCATGTTCCACCATTTCCTTCAAAAACGTTATCCGAGAAAGTGGCACATATCAATAAATCCTTCCAAGGGGACTGTCACAAGGAAAAAAGACTGAGAGAAGCTAGTGTACGTGGTCTCCAGCCATAAGCGGTCATCGTAGAATTTGGGCACAATGTAACACGAGCAAATGTTTCAGTCAGTTTTCATGACGTTTTTTAGGGATATTCAGGCGTTGAGGCAAGTAGACATCATCAGTAATTGTTTGTATTCCGGGTTGTGACACTCGTGCCAATTCAATGCTTAAAACTGACTTCAGGCTCGAACACAGGGTTAAAAATGGTTGCAACTTGCATTGCGCATAAAATCTGATCCATTTTTTCTCTATTCCATAACTTTACCCAGTTCCTCTTTGATGTTCCAGCTTCCCTTCAAAATCAGACCTGGCTTGAGAGTATGAAAAACCCAACCAGAACACTCAGGCCTATAGGTCGCTTTGGGTTCTCTGGATGATAATCCCGAATTCATGGTCACCGGCAGTTAGATACACTGAGTGATGTATATGTCTGAGTGTTGTAAACAACGGTGCTTGTGCACGCACTTATTATTACTGCAACCCCAGTTTCTATGAATTTTCTATCTTCTCTTTCAATCTTCTCTCAAAATTCCAATCTTCCCTCTGCTCTTTTATCCCAATGGGCGGCAAAAGATAGCAACAAAAACCGACGCACAAAAGCGAATGGTTCCAGATTGTAAACGGATTGAAACGGAACTGCAGTGATTGAAATGGTACATAAGTGAGAATGGCTGGACGGTAAGAGTCTAAATACTGGTCAATTTGCTAGCTCAACCAAGATGTCTCAGGTTAGTGCGAACTTCGTAGCAAAGGAAAAAGTAACATGTACTAATTATCCTCCTCATCCACAATCACGATTTAAACAATGGAAAGCAGCACGAAAGCTACGATACCAAAGCCACGCCAGTATTTTGTGTATCAGATTTTTCGATGGCCTTAGATAACGGTACACGATTCACTGCTAAAGAATACCAGCCATTACGTTAGTATCATTTTATTCTTCATCACCGAACCCCTTCGGAAAATCCTCACAGAAATGGCTCTCCAGAGAGTTTCGTAGATATGCTCAAAGGTGTTCTACTCTAAACGCCGAGAGAGGACACTACAATCGACTTGTTGTGGTTACTTCCATTTCATTGTTGAGAAACTTCAAATGCGGCTAGTCAGCCAACTTGTCCACCGTTGTTCATAACGTTTACAAGGGAGGTGTATCCTATCATGGAAGCTATTCGACCAAAACTTCCCGTTAAACCGCGGACACCGAAGAGATTCCTTTTCATGGAAGGACAAGGTTACCCGTTCGGCACACAATCTGAACATGTAAGATGTTAAGCAGGAGAGGTGAAGCGTTTGTGTGAGATGCTCCTTAAAGGTAGAATCATGTCGGGGCATGAAAGCAAACTGCGAAAATTCTAAAACGATATGTCTAATATCTGTAAGTCCCGGGTTCGGACCGCTCCACCGCGGCCCGTTTTCCCAGGGATCCTGTGTATGGCCACGGCGCCCTTACTGAATATTGACTGTACATTTGTGTATTCAATAAATCAAAAAGGAAGTAAAAGGACATTCATTAAGTTATATATGCAGACTATCCACCGCTTATTGTGCTGTTGAACACGTTCGGAATCCCGGGCACAGTCAATGGTGATCACGACAGCACTACAAGCATAAGACACATGCGAATAGAAAGAGCTAATCTGACCAAAATATCCGATGCAACCATTGTAGACAAACTCTCGGTTGCGTTCGGGTGAACGGAATCAAGGCAGTGGGTGCGACAACCGAGTAAAGAAGTCCACATACACATACCCGTTACTCGCGGGACATATTCATGCAACGAGTTGCAACTGATACGCAAGACTAGGTTACTGAAAAGGTCGAGGACAAATAAATGCATGAGGCAGAACATGCATTGTTCTCTCTCATCCCAGCCGGATGTCCTACCTGGTCAGTGTAACGTGAACCAGAGCAATACGATTGTTTGACCGGTATGATTTCGTGATGTTCATCCATATAACAAGGGTCAGTACAACATGCATTGTGTTGCATCAGTTACCTAATTAGGCTTCTATTTTCCACATCATGATATCTGATTATGGGCACCTGCAAGAGAAAGCATTATAAAGATTTTTTTAGTCAGTAAGATAGGTTGGCACTAAATTCACAAATGTGGGTGACGTAATAGGANGGCAATTTACCGTTCGTTGTGGTCTTGGGTTGCACTTTGGCATTTTTGACTGATTTTTCCCGACCAATTTCTTTGGAGTTCATCAGGGTTGGATTAAGGACGTGAAATAATACAGAACCGGGATCCTGTGCAGCGGTTTTCGGTTGTTCGTTGGGAGCAGTTAATTCCAAGTACTCCGACTCACACCTGACAATTAGTGTATCCTCAGGTAGCTGACTATGGATAATATCATTATTGTTTGGTAAGCTGGACAAGTGCTCTTCACTTTGAGAGACGGAGCTGCTCTCTCTAAACGANNNNCGAATTTCCACAACGAGTACTTCGCTTTCGACAGGACTGTCGTTTGTCGACCGAGGTTTTTGAAGTGCAGGTTACGGAGGAAGTGGATTTCCAGCCGAGTCGTTTACATTCGTTACGCAATAGGGCCATCTTTTCCAAACTATCCATTCCGAAGCGATACTCAGTTCGCAGCAGATGCAAATCTTCACTCTTTTAGGAAACAAAAAAACGCACGTGATAACTGTCACACTCAGAAAATTGTTATTTAAGTTACGAGATTGTGAAGACTGTGCGACTAATCTAATATAAATAAATAAATAAAAGATACGGTGCTACAAAAAGTGCTACTTGAGAGTAGTATGGGAGTTGTCTTGAGTAAATGGTGAATTTCACCGTGAACAAAGCAAATGGAGCGTGAACTAATAAGTAAGGAAGCACTGGGCAGCTGTTTAAACCTGAGTGAGTTTCACTAACAGTACGAATCCATCGACCAAACTGGGGATCGAACAGGGTACCTCACAGATAGGATGAAAGCACACCACCTTCTTGACAATCAGGTTCGGAATACAAACCTGGAGGCTAGTGTTTAGATGTGTGAGGTGTGATACCTGCATTGAGCTCACAAAGATGGTTTGTGCCATATCATTTATCAGGAAAATGAAAAACTGCCCGATCAACTGACCGGTGGTCAAGCGAGTAGTATACCTGCGTTCTACCTGTGAGGTCCTGGGTTCAGCCTTCAGTTTGGTCGATGGATTTACATTCTTGACGAGATATAATCGGGGTGAAACAACTGTCAAATGTTTCGAGGGGTTTTCCGTTTATCCTGAATTCGTTCTGTATACAACGAAATTCACAATTGAGAAAGATCTTTCTGTCCTCGCTGTTCTCTGTAATCTGTATATCTTTATTTTTATTTCCCTTATTTTTACACAGATCTGCCACTACTGTTGTTGTTGTTGCATTGGTACTATACTTGTCCTTGAGCCGATGTAAAAACAATTTCTTATGTGGCAAATATGACGTATGGTTAAAAAAGCGAACCCAGTAATCATAAAAGCTAATGTTCCACGAGAACGCTTCTTGTTGGTTCTGCGCTTCTATAGAATAGTTCATAAGGGAGCGGATAAAACAGAGTAAGGCAGATAGTTCTAAAATTCCTTGGTCTCTTGTAGTGAGAAAAGAGGATTTCAACGGCGCCGTATGATAGGATTTCGGTCACCCGGTTTGAATAACTTAACGCTTGAGATCGAATCACGCGAGTAAATGAAAGTGCCGAAAGGGTCAAATCTGTAAGCTCCGCATTTGACGTTAGGGAGGAATCAACGGTCAGCAGAGCAGGCCTGCCCCAGACGTGGCTGTAAAATTTCATAGTTAGAAGTACTTGTACCTTGTAACGAATCAGAATTGGATCAGTGACAAAACGTGGTTTCACACAGAAAGGATGGGTAATCACCCCCTGGATGAGTGCGACCGACGTTTAACAATACGAGGATATGAACTTGTGGAAGAGTAAAGTTGGAAACCAATTAGAACTGAAAAGACGTAGAACATAATGAATAAGACATGAAACTCAGATCAGAGGCCCGTTTTTGGAATGCAGACAGATTTTGAAAATGACTCAATTCTTGGTGCCCCAGGTTTGAATTGAGTGAAGCATAAACATACAATAAATTGCGAGAAATAATGGTAAATGAAGTACGTCAAATGTAGTAATAAAGAAAGTTATTTGGGTGGTATCATCGGTATAAGCATTGACAGGATTAAAGATTGTCTGTGAAGATAAGGAACAGGGCGGTAAGTGGCAGGAACTTCGTGAGATTTTGGATTATACTTCCATTGTCCTCAAAATGACTCCATCAACACGAACCGCGAATAAGGGATCACAAAAGCAGCTTCGTATCCCAGTGATGAAACACATGAGAATTTTTATCTAATGCGCGTTACGCCAAACTCAGTCAAAGGTGGTTCACGACGAAGAAGTAAATGTGTGACTTGTTTACTACCGTGCTGCCAAGGGGTCCGTAGCAGCGAAAACCTTATTGCCGGAAGTTCACGATGTTCCAAGTGACAGCAAAGTTTCTCTGTAATCACTAATTCCATAAAAATCGAGGAAGACAAGGTGAGGGAGACAGGACGATAATTGTTTGGATCACAAGATGCACACTCACTCACGCGATTGGGGAAGACATGAAAACAATTTTATAGCAGGTCCCATGGGAAACATATTGGGATAAACCGAAGGATAAAGACAAACTCCGGCCCTAAAGTCTTGAATATGATAGGCAGGATGCCAGCTTTACCGAGTGGATGGGGTGAATCTAGTGAACGTATTGCTAAGAAAATATTCCGTTTTGTGATTTTGAGACAAGATTTGAGGGATTAGTGGATGAGGGAAATCTGGTAGATAGAAGTAGGATGGAACTAGAGGAGAGGGTTCAAATCAACATCAATTGACTCACATTCAAACTGAACTGAATTATGAATTCAAACCTGTAACACATCCGAGTTCAAATCTAAAACGGAATGGTGGACATGCACTAGTGATAAACTCTGATGAGAGCCCAACTCCAGTCTAGTGCTTCTCGCGTGTAGGGTTGACTGAATGAAATTGATGTTGGCCCTGAAGATAGAGTGAGACAGATTGCTTGTCGCGGCGAGCAATAAAAGATAATCCAATCCACATGATTTTTGACGGAGTTAAAAGCATAAGCAACTTGATGAATCTAAGGGATTCGACAAACAAGTGAACCTGATAACTGGGTCACTAGACGAGCAGCAATAGGTCACCAACTCACTTCCCATGGATCCGCATCAGCTGGATGACGTGGTTCATGTGAGAAACAATGAAATCTTCCACCAGTTATTTGAGCCAACTGTTTCAAAAATTGATTGGCCTCCGGATCCGAACAATTGAAACTGACTGTGTGAATTGGAAGCGGATGATTCAGCTGCATGCTCAACAGAATCGAGCGTGGATCCTGATCCGGTCGGCCGTCCGACAATAGGTATATGCCGGTGGCATTGCAATCAGCCAGTGCAAATTGTAACCCGGCAAAAGTGTTCGTTGATCCGCCACAATTGAGCGACTTGATCCATGTCGCTGCTGACTTGAAGAGTAGAAATTGGAAACCGGAAACCTGGGGCTGATCAGATTCGGGGACAGAGCCCAGTAAGCAATACTCATTTGTTCAAACAGTGTATCAGTGAAAATCATCCGCAATGCCGGATTTCAGCAGCACTGTGTAACTGAGTCGCACCAACCCGTACAATGGCTTGCGAAGCAGCGCAAAGTTGTTTCATCACAATTAATTATTAAACTTTATTAATGTGATTAAGGATAGAGGTTTAGCATTGGTTTCGGAGTTAACGAAACTCCTGGTCTCAGTGTGGGAGACGGAATAGGTTCCAGCTGAATGGTGTGAATCGGTCATCAAACCGATTTACAAGAAAGGTGATAGATCCTCTTGTGAAAACCACAGAGGAATTAGTTTAATTAACATTGCCTCTAAACATCTCGCCGGTATCATACTCCGTCCATTGTCTGCCGCACGTGAAGAGTGCACGCATGAGAACCAGGCTGGTTTTAGACCTGGTAGAGATTGTATCGACCACTCTTCACCAAACTCTGGAGCACCGACATTCTTTTCATAGACCCATCTCATCATCAGCATCATCTCTATCTTTCTGGATCTTAAAGTGGCCTTCGACTCAGTCGACCGCTCTAAACTCTGGCGCTGCCTTTCTCTGAAAGGTGTGCCCGAGAGGTTTATTTCAATAATTCGATCCCTCTATACTCATAGCCGAAGCCGAGTCCGAGCTTACGGCACGCTTCCACCCGAGTTCACTATGGAAAGTGGTGTTCGACAGGGTTTCCCTCTCTCCCCTTTTCTATTTCACTTTCTTATAGATCTCATTTTGGAAACAGCCCAAGGATAGTGACATCGATTTACTCCCAAGAGACAGACTGTCTGATCTAGAGTACGCAGACGACATTGGCTACTAAGTGAAGATCCAGGTAAGTTACAAGCTTCTGGATAGTTTTTTAGTGTTGCAATGTTCGGTATGCGTTTTGCACCTTCAAAGTGTAAAATGCTACTACAAGACTGGGTTGGTCCAACACCCAGACTCACTCTAACTGGGGAAGTAATAGAGCAGGTGGATAAGTTTTGTTATCTGGTAGCTATATCTCACCCGGTGGACGCATTACGGATGTTGTGTCAGCTCGCAGACAGAAGGCTCGGTTGGCATTTGCTAACTTGAGACATCTGTGACGCCGTCGCGACACCCGGTTGTTTGTGAAGGGTCGAGTATATGCTGCAGCAGTTCGATCCGTTCTGCTATATGGAGCAGAAACTTGGCCATTAAAAACAGAATAAAATAGACTGCCGGTGTTTGAACATCGCTGTCTACGCAGCATTGCACGAATTTGGTGGGGCAGCCAGACGAACAATGCTGAGGTTAGGCTCAGAGTTTTGGGAAACCGCGGTCGCCCACTGGAACAAGTGGTCGACCTCCATTACTTACGTTGGTTGGGTCATGTGTTACGCATGTCACCAGATAGGTTGGT